CCCAGCCTGTAGGTCTGCTGCTGGTTCTTCCTCCCCAGGTGCAGCACCTTGCACTTGTCAGTGTGGTCCGCTTGCAGCCTATTCCTTCCTTCTAGCGCGCCCACATCCCCTCACATCTTAGTGTCATCAGCAAATTTGAGCAGGGTGCTTTCCACCCCCTCGTCCAAGTCTTTGATGAAGATGTTGAACAGCGCGGGCCCGACGACCGAGCCCTGGGGACCCCACTGCCCACAGCCCTCCAGGTTGAATAAGACCTGTCCACCACCACGCTCTGGGTGCGGCCCTCCAGCCAGGTAGTGACCCATCTGACCGTGTAGGTGTCGACGCCACGGTCCCCGAGTTTTTTAATGAGAATGAGGTGAGAGCCGGTGTTGAAGGCCTTCCTGAAGTCCAGAAAGACTACATCCACCGCGACACCTGCGTCCAAGCACTGTGTGCCCTGGTCGTAGAAGGCCCCAGGTTGGTCTGACAGGACCTGCCTCGAGCGAACCCGTGTTGGTTGCCCCTAAGCATACCCTCCCCTTCTGCCCCTCGCGCACATGCGCCAGGATAATGCTCTCAAAAAGCTTCCCCAGGATCGAGGTAAGACTGACTGGCCTGTAGTTTCCGGGTCCTCCTTCCTCCCTTTTTTGAAAATGGGAACCACATTGGCCCTTTTCCAGTCGTCTGGCACCACACCAGAGCACCACGAGTGCTCGTAAAGCCATGCCGGGTCCCGCAATGACCCCTGCTCCTTCCCTCGGCACTCGGGGGTGGAGATCGGCAGGACCTGCTGATTTAAATACGTCCGCTCCCTCCAGAAGATCCCGGCTCGCCCGAGCGAGAGGCGATGGGTGAACTCATTTCTAGCTGGAGGCACCGGTGGGGAAAGCTGTCAGATGGGAGCGTCGGGTCACAAAGGCCTCAAGCCCAACGCAGTTGGGATTCCCGGGCACGCCTGTTGCTCCGGCCCCCGCCGGCGTCCGTCGCCCGCCAAACACGGCCCAGAACGGGGGAATTCATGGGCCCGAGTCCTCTGCTTCCCGTCGCGCAGCCCGGGGTCTCGTCCCGGACCCAGAGCCGGCGTCGCAGTCGCTCTCACGCTGTCCCCCCTCCCTGCCGGCCTTTGACTGCCTGTGGCTGCTAACGATCGTTACTGGCCTGGCCTGCAATTAGCATCACGACCTGCAGCCGGGCTGGAGGTCGCTAGGAGCCGCAGCCGTACGAGCTCGAGCAGCCGAAGCCTGAAAGACCATTAAAAGGGAGAGAGGGTCGTTCACGCCTATGGAGGGAAGAGATTAGGAGGAGCCGGTATCATGAGCCACGGAGCCAGGTGACTGGATAGAAATGCCCCTGCCGCAGCCAGGCCGTTGGCTTTCAGCGACGGACAGGCCAGGAGTTAAAGCGGGGCCTGCCCCGTTGCCTCCCTCCTTACCACAGGACTCGCCCCTGGAGAGCGCGCGGTCGCAGGCCGGCTTCCAAAGCAGCCGTGCCACGCACCACGGGCAACAGGCCGCACGGCCGCGGTCAGGCCGCTGTAGACCCGTGGTCCCCCCCGCTGCCCGGCTCGGCTGCAGGGAGACATCGCCTGATCCGCAGCCCGGCGCAAGGACAGAGGAGCCGCCAGGAACCGGGCCAGACCCTCGGTCTATCCTGCCCGGTCTCCTAGGTCCCGAGGAGGCAGAGAGCGACGAGGTCTGAGCAGGGTCCGTCCCCCCCGCTGTCCGTCTCGCCCACACAGCCATCGAGGGTCCAGGATGTCCGAGGTCCCGTGCACCCCATGCCCCTTTGACCCAAGCCCAGGCCCAGCGTGGGTACATCCGGCGGCGCTCTCAGCTTCCCCCACATCTGGCTCTCACGGCTGGTTCCCATGAGCTCCCTGCTTTCAACCCACGCCGGGTGGAAACGAACGTCCGGGGGCTTGTTAGAAATCGCTGGTTCCACTCATGTCTGGAGAGACGGCCAAGAGCCGATCCCCCAGGACTTCCTCTTACGTTGCACACTGCAACCGCTCTCCAATGCCTTTTCTAAGCTGACCGGGCCTGACCTTTTTGGTCTCTCTTCCCGCGGCACGCATCCTCCTCGCTGCCCTTCTCTGCACCCTCTCTTTCCGGTTGGGTTGTGCTGGGCTTAGACCTGGGTGCAGCGTTCGAGCGCTGGACACATCGGGGAGGGATAACGCGGCGCCGCGACACTTTGTGTCTTGCTCCCTGTTCCCTTCATCATCCCCGATGGGCCGTCTGCCCCGAGCTGCTGTCTCCAACCCAGCCCCAGGTCTCCTCCTGGGGGGGTCACAGGCAGGGCAGAGCCCAGCCTGGCACCCCAATCCAGACTGCGTGTCGTTGGCCCTCCCAGGCTCCCCCCATCTGGGTCTGGCGCCAGCCTGCAAGAGCACACGGGATGCCCCACGCCCAGTCACGTCCCGTGGCTCCGGCCCGGCGCCGGCTACTGGAAACCCTGCGCTTGCACGGCCCAGAGCTGGGGGCACGGGATTCATAGGGCTGGAGCCAGAGAGACTAGGAGGAGCAAAGACTTTGGATACAGCTTGGACTGGGACAGCTGAAGGAACGAGCGGCGTTTCCCACTGGGAACTGGACACCAGATGTGGCCTCCCCACTGCCCGGCCGAGCGGAAGAGTCACTCCCCCCATTCGGTGGCAACGCATGTACTTGGCTGCTGTGCCCGGAGGTGCCTGCGCCGGCGCGGACTCCCCCCGGCGGCTCAGCAGAGCCCGGTCGTGACCCACTTGCTGAGACCCGGAGCTTCCCGCAACGGCCTGATCCCTCCCCTGGCGGGAAAGCCAGCTGGGAGAGCGCGGCCGCCACCGTATCCGCCTTTGTTGGCAGGCGCCGGGGATGGATGTGGGGACAGGAGGCCGATGACGCCTAGATTTCCAGTTTCCAGTCAAAGCCAGTGGGCTGGAACCGTGTGCTTGGCTGAACGCGCTGGAAAGCGGGCGATGGCCAAGGGGCAGGAGGGTCTGGCTGGGCCCGTGGGCATTGCCGGGTCCTTGGAGCTTCCTCCCCAGCTGGTGCCAATCCCGGGCACTGGCCAGGCTGTGCTGAGGGGATTCCTCTCTCCGCCACGAGCCACGCACCTTCCCTTCCCCCTGCGAGATCAGCAATGATCCAGCCAGGAGCTGGAGACCGGATCCAGCTGGACCAGTTTAATCCATGGGGATGGACGTGGCCTAGTTTATCCCAGGAAGGAGGGGAGCGAGGTGAGCCTGGCTCAGCCCTGGAGCTTGCAGCAGGCAGCGGCTGAGATTTCAGGGCACCCGGAAAAGGAGGCGCCCGTGGGCAGAGACCCTGGACGCTTCTGGGTTGGGAGGGACCAGAGAGGCACGGGGGAGGGCGACACCCCCAGGCCCCTGCCAGGCACGGTTCGGGGACCCCCGCTCCCAGCTGGGGCCAGGACGCAGCAGCTGAGCGCGCGAGAGGCAGGAGGGTCATGCACGGCCCTGGCCCTAGGCAAGCCCACCCCAGAGCCACACACAAACATGTGTGCACAAGCTTGCTCATGCACACACACAACAGGCATGCATGCAAAACTGCACTAACATGTATGGATGTGCACATGTGCAAACGCACATGTGCAGGGACATGCCATAGAGGTGTACACACATACCCAGGAGAACACATGGGTGCACAAACATGCACGGGGAAGTGCACACACACACAATGGGCACATGCAAATAGGCAAGCGTGCACGTGCGTGTGTACAGAGCATAGTTTCATAGTTGGTCGGGTTGGAAGGGACCTGAGCAGATCATCAAGTCTGACCCCTGCCATGGCAGGAAAGAGCGCTGGGGTCAAAGGACCCCGCAAGGTGTTCATCTAACCTCCTCTTAAAGCCCCCCGGGGTAGGAGCCAGCAGCACCTCGCTTGGAAGTTGGTTCCAGATCCTAGCCGCCCTGACAGTGGAGCAGCGCCTCCTGATGTCTAGCCTGAATCTCCCCTCTGCCAGCTCGTGACCGGTATTTCTTCTCACTCCTGGTAGAGCTCGGGGGAACAGGGACTCCCCAATGCCAGCTGGTCCCCTCCGACTAGTTTATAGACGGCCACGTCCAACGTGCAAAGACGCAGTACTCCAAGCGTGCAAAGACACATGCATACGTGCACACACACACACATGCCTGGGCCTCATCCCCTAGCACTGCGTTTCTCCCACTTCTGGGCCCCCCACGCTGGGGGGTCCCTGTGGTGTGCAGCCCCCAGGCAGAGGTGGAAAGGAAGGTTTAAAGTTGGGGGGGGGAAGGTCGTTAGTGGTAAACGAGCAGTGGAGAAGCCCAGGGATGCACCCCTCCTCCCCGCACCGCCCCAATCTCAGCCACACGCGCTGGCAGGAAGCCAGTGGGTCTGCAGGCAGCCGGGCGTGGGAAGAGGACCCAGGCGTCCGGGCTCCTAAGTGCCGTCCCCTGCCGAGAGGCCAGGAGTCTGGGACGCCTGGGGCCAAGGACCATCCGGCTCTCAGGCAAGGCCAGGTGGGCAGAGCCTGGCACAGAGGGTGGGGCCAAGAAACAGGAGGGCGGAGCCTGGCACAAAGGGGCAGGGCCGACGGGCGCCAGTCTTACAATAATTACTTTATTTTAACATCTTTTAATTAATTACAGACAGTAAAACAGCGCGGGGATGTGGCAGCACCAGGGCCTTGGCTGTATAACCCCCCCATTTGCCCGGGGGGGGGGGGTGGCAGCACCGGGGCCCTGGCTGTATAATGCCCCCCCACTGCCCTGGGGGGGGCAGCACAGGGTCCCCCAGAGCTCCTGGCTCGCCCCGGGTTTCTCTTGTCCATGTCTGGCACCAAAATAAAGTGGGGGGTACCCTGAACCACCCCCCCAAGGGAGAGGCAGGGGAAGCTGGGGGGGCCGGGGGGGGGATAAG